CTCTATGTGTGGTGCGAGTTTGATCGAGGCTCGTTATCTTCAACGTTGAACACAAACTTGGAAGAGGGAAGAAGAAGAAATAAGGGTTACAGTGGGGAAGAAAGGAGAATGGGGGGTTACAATGGGAAAGAGAAAGAGAGGAATGGGTTAGTTTAATACATCAGTTTCTTATCAAGTCTAATCCCATCTTCCAATACTTGATTAGATTATACATCATTTTAACGTATTAAGAAATTATAATGAATAAAGTTATACTATATGATGGTCACACCAAACAAATAAAAATATCATAACATATAGTATAAGTTTATACTATCAAGCCTTATACATCACTTCAAACTTGCCCTAATGTTTGCCCTAGAAAAGATCACTAAAGGAATATGATTTTGAATAGGGTAAAGGAATGAATTGCCAAGGGATTGTTAGAAAGAATTGTCAATAACATGAATTGAATGCTAGTTATAGGAAATGGTAGATTCATTAGAAAGACGTTGGAGAAACCGACACCCTAGCTATGTTTTACATTCTTGATTTCACATCATTCTTAGTTATTGTTCTTGTTTATTAATTGTTAGTTTTAGCTTGCGTTTTATATTTCAATCATATTCCCAACAACTTTTTCGGTCAATCCAACTTTGATCGCATAGATAAATTATTGCTTGATAAATCAATTCTCATGAGAACGATAACTCTACTCACTGACTTTATTACTTGTACGACTAGTATACTTGCAATGATCACAACAAGTAACAGTTATCAAACAAGTACAACACAAGAAATTGTCTTGTGATTTAACAAGTTAGTTATTTGTATGTTTGGAGGAGACACAGTAACTAACTTGAGACCTTTGGGATATTTAACTGTTCTTTTACACACACACACACACACACACACACACACATATATATAATCCCACTTTAAACTGAGATAGTATCGTAGAATTGTCCTTACATTGTTTGTTACAAAAAGTTTGTGATCTGTACCTACTACATGCGATATAAAGGCCCAAGAGGCCAAAAAACCCATGTGACTTAACCATCAAGGCAAATTCATCTCACATAGGAAGTGTGGGATCTCACTAACTTGGCCAGCAAGCCAAACGTGACTTAACCTGAAAGGAACCATCATTGCCGAGACCAGTAGCTCAGGCAAGTTGGCCATCATCGGGAACCATTGAATGATTGACAATTCATGCTTGCCACTATATCTACTGAATATAGGTTTGTGCACCAAGAAATAGCCTGAGAGAGGGCACCCTTCTTCACCAATAAACGTGAACATCGTCTTATGAAAGACAGTGAGAAACAAAGGCGCTCAAGCACTATAAATACAGAGGTTTTTAGCCCAATATGATATCTTTCTTTGAATACTTGAACCTCCTTGAATACTAAACTGACTTGAGCGTCGAAGTGCCTTTGTTGATACCCCTAGTCGCTCTCAAATTGCCCATATACACAAAGTGTTGTCCAACCATCTTGCAAAGCATTCCTCCATCTCGCCAAGCACCCCAGCATCTCAGCAACAATACACACATCTCTCATTCTCTTCATCAATATCTTTTCACGTCAACTGGGTGTGATTAGGCCCAGCCAACTTTGAGTTGAACTGATTAGTTTGTTTTTCTAGTATTTCTTTTTGTTGTTTTTTCTTATGGAAGTTTGCATTTTGTTGTATTTAAGATCTAACTCTATAATAAACTCACTAGCAGTGAACTCTGTTGCAGAATTTTACATCACCTTCGAATCAAGTGCAAAGGAGAAAATAGTTGATGCATTGGAGTCTGTTCATCTTTTTCAACCATAAAAATGGAAGATCACAGATAATTGATCTATTTAATTAGGACAAGTATGCCTTGTTGATTTATCTCTTATTTCCTTGAATGCCATTGCTTACTTAAAGGATTTTTGTTAGTTGTTATACTTTATCTCGATCAAACTGGTCAAATGCTTCATTTGGGGTCACTTTCTTCTTGCATCTTATGGGTTTAGTATTTGTAATGTTGGTTTATCCAAGATACGATCTCATTTCCAGGTATCTAAATGCAATCCTAACTAGTGCTCCACACTTTTTATGATACTTGGCCACAACATTCATTGTCAACAAGCGCAGAAGGCCTCAATTCAAAGATTCTATAAAAAATATTCAAAAAGAGCAACATTCTTATAAAGACCCCATCACTGAGTTTTTTTGGCTTGTGTTTATGTCAACTATGACTTTAATGGGGCATAAAAGAAGATGAAGTAGTGTTTATGTCACTATTTAAATCTTTACTTTTCCAATAGCCTCCGTTACTAATTAGCTAGACTTCTGGCGGGTTTCCATGGCGTTAAAGTATTTATAAAAAAAATATTGGTATCGTCATTCAATCAACCTTGCATTAATATGAACATGATCTTGTTCACATCAGTGTTTAAAAATCCGGCCCGACCATCGACTCGGCTGAGGTCAGGGGTCATAGGTTCAACCAGGGGGTCACGGGGTCACTTCACTTACCCGATTTTATACATTAAAAAATCTAAATATATATCCTATAAGAAAAATTCAAACCACAAATCATTAAAGATTCGAAATATACTTAACATAATTCAACCAACTACATCCACACGTCAATATTCACAAGCTAATCAAAGTATCAAACGATCAAAGTATCAAACATACAATCCAACGGAGTTAATAAAAATTTATATCATCAAACTCATGCCCTTCTTGTCCTTCTCATGCACCTACAACAATACGTGAAAAGAGATCCCTTACCCAATAGAGAATAACGGAGGAGTGGCGACGGCACAATAAATTAACGGTGTGGAGAGAAGAACCAGTATGATGGAGGAGATCACTGGATCAGAGAGACTGAGTCTGGGTCTGGGATAGAAGATTAGAAAATCATATGAAGAACGATTCAGATTTCAGATCTAGTTCTAAATCTAGGCAGTAGTGTGTTTTTTTTTACACATCAAATGATGTCATTTTGTGTATAATTATTATTATTTTTTTAAAAATGCAGTGACCATTTTGACCCGGAAGTCACAGGTTCAACAAGGGGGTTTCGGGGTTTAGAGGGGTCAATTTGCAAGTAGGGTCTAACTACTAATCTGAATCCTTAGAGAGAGGGGGGTCAGTGACCCGATGCGGTCCATCTTGGGGAGGGGCGAGGTTTTAAAACACTGTTTTATATTATTACCAAGGTGAAAAGGAAAACATATATGAGAAAATTATTTGCTCACCAAGCCAGCAAGCTTGGTTATATATTGTCTGAATGAAAAAAAAAATTACTCCAAGAAAAACATATTCTTTTCCGTTTCAATGAAGCACAACAAAAACTTAATTGTTATGTTTAGAGGTGATAATGGGTCGAGCCGAGTCGAGCTTTGGTCTTAAAAGGCTAAGCCTGTGTTTAAATGTGTTAGCCTGACCAAGTCTGTTACCTGTTATAAATATAATTATCGGCATGAGGCCTGCCTTATTTACAAAAAATAAAAGCCTGATTTAGCCTATTAAAAAAATAAGACAACAAAAATTTATCTAAACAGAATATACAATCAACAACACTAATAATTCTATAAATATTCATAAATTCAATGTATATTCAAACAACATAATATAGAACAAAATCATTCAAAAACTCTGTTTAATCAATAAAATGGGGTGAAATGGATTGAGGAAAAAGAGAGAGCTATTACAAATAGTATAAAAATTGTAAAAATAAATAAATAATAATATACTAGGTCAACCTGAAAGGCTCTAATGCCAAGCTTTTGAATTGGAGCCTGAAGACTTTATATTAAACGAGCTTTTATACAAGTTCAAGCCTGATGTCAACAACTAATTTTAAACATGTAAGCTCAGGCCTCTACGAGTCGAGGCAAAGGCCATTGGTTCGTTTAGCACCCCTAGTTATGATTTGATGACAAATTTATTAGGTATGATCCTACCTTTTAAAATATTTGTTGGTGCATTTTGTGATTGAATAAAATATTTGTTGGTGCATTTTGTGATTGAATAGAGATTATCTACATGATTCAATAGATCAAAAATAGAACTTGGTGATGGCTACAAGGATGAGAAAATAGTTTGAATTAAGAACGGAGGAGAGAAAGATGAGAAAATAAGGACATGTTTGAATTGTGTTTTCAAAAACAATTTCTTTTATTTTAAGAACAAAAAATATTTGATAAAGTCTGTTTTATAAAAATAGTTTTAAAAATTATAATTATTTTTTAGTTTTTAAAATCAAATTTAAATAGGGAAATGTTATAGATAGTAAGTATAACCTCCCTCATTTAAATAATATATCTTAGAATATTTTTGTTTTATATTTTAACTTTTAACTTTTAAAATACAAAAGACTCATAATACCTTTATGGCTTTAACGTTTTTAAACTGAATGTAAATAAGTTATCTATATTCGCTCCCAAAACGACGTCGTTTTGGGTTAAAAAATTAAAAAATGATAATGAAAAAGACTATTATAACCCTGTAATAAATTATAATTACAAAAATACTTTGATTTTCGTCTCAAAACGACGTTGTTTTGGGTTTAATGTAGATAACTTATCTATATTGACTCTAGAAAAAGTGAAACTTACATTTATTTTATTAATTATTTTACAAAACAATTTTATGGGGGAAAAAAACATAACACTTTCTAAGTTTGGTAAGAAAGAATAAGAATATGAACATAATGAAAAGATATTTGGATCGGGAAGAGATATCGAGAAAAGGGATATGAATGACTTTTAAATTGAAAGGCAGCGTTTCAGTTAAAATGATATAGTAATATCTCATTTAAAATTATAAATATTTTACTCAGTATTTTTGAATAATAATATAATAAAAGAAGTTATACTTATAATTATAAAATAATATTAAATAATAGCTATTGATTTGAATTTTGATTTAACAGTCGTAAATAAAAAAGAGGCTTAAAAATAAATTTGTGATTTAATGTTAAAATGCACTTCATCCCTTGTGCTTCACTTGACTGCAACACTATTGCTGCGTAGTTGCCAGAGTCGTGGAAGAGAGAGAGAGAGAGAGATGAGAGATGGGAAACAAAGAAAAAGCAAAGGAACGAAGAGAAAAGAGGCAACAAGAGATAAGGCTTCTAAGGACCATTCCCTATTCTGATGAACAGAGGTTTATATCGTTTTATTTTGCAATTATCTTTTTTTGTCTAATTATCCCTTCTGATGTTTAGATTTTTACGATTGTTGAATTCCCCCTATGAATTTTAAAAACCTTTTTGGGTTTTGAAATCTACAAATTTTTATACCTACTCACACTGAGTTAGGCTTCTTAGTTATGACCTTTGCCACAGACCCTCTCGTCATGAGGAAAAAACTATTGTTTAGCTTCAAGTGAATGTCCAAATGTTACATGGGATACTCAAACTGAGAATATTGTCGTTTGCCACTTGGCAAGCATGTAATTCTCAGCATGTGTTTTGACTAAGATTGTTGTTTGTTTCAGCCTTTAACCATCCATAGTTTATGGAATTACAGAATACTATTCTTCATAGCTTGTGATAGGATCCAACCAATACCAGAACAGATTAAAAAAAAAATTGAAAACAGGAATCTGTATTAACTATGACTGATTCTTGTATGGATCATCAAGAACAGTACAGACGCTAACGAAGAAAGGAAATTTCAGAATATGAAAATTGCATAAAAGAAAATGGTAACCCAGAGTATTGGAGAGACTCTGGACTCTCCCAAGACCATGCAATACCCCATTTTCCTACTTAACCAGCACTCTTCCCACCACTTCCAAACCTTCGTGAACTTCTTTTCCCGGAAAAGAAACAATGACGGTATCCGGGGAATAAGCATCATTCGAGTCAAATAGCAAGTTCTTCTGTTAAACCCCGATCAATGAACCTACAAAATCCTTCAAATTGTATCTGATTCAACTCGGGTAGTGTGGACATTCCCGCATTTCCACTCCCAAGCATTTTCAATCTCCCCATTTAACATAATTCAGTTTACCAGCTTCTGGAACATTCTTTGTTAAGAAACTTCCTGCTGACTCAGCACTTGGCAATATTTCCCTACTTCTCTTTCTTTCATACATCTTGCTTGATCAAATCGTATCTGCTTGTTATGATTTTTGTTAATTTTGAGCATACCTACATAGGTGGTGGTCCAAGGAAACCGTTGCTGTAGTTACTGGTGGAAATAGAGGAATTGGGTTTGAGATTTCTAGACAACTTGCTGCTCATGGATTGACTGTTATACTGACATCAAGAGATGCTAGTGCTGGTGTTGAATCAATTAAGGTTTTGCAAGAAGGTGGCCTGGATGTGATTTATCATCAACTTGACATAGTAGACTATTCATCCATCAACCAGTTTGTTGAGTGGTTACGGGAAAACTATGGTGGTTTAGATATTCTGGTCAGTTTCTAAAATGTGCTTTCTTTCCTCATAGTCTGATTTTAACTAAATTATCAAGTGCTGTTGGGATCTATCTAATAGTTTTATACATTTTGATTACTTCTGGCTTATCTTTATCCTTTTCTATGTCAACTTCTACTATATTCACAAAATAAATTTGTTTATTTTTATCTATATATCCTAAACATGAAATTGAATACAAAAGATACTGAATTAGATATTACAAGGAAGTGTATAGAATGTGGTTTAAACATTTCCTTATTTTATGCTTGTAAGTTCTAAGCACTATCTTTACCTGTAGGTAAACAATGCTGGCGTTAATTTCAATCTGGGGTCTGATAACTCAGTTGAAAATGCTCATAAGGTTATTGAAACCAATTTCTATGGCACCAAGAGTGTGACTGAAGCTATTATTCCATTGATGAAACCATCACTTGTTGGTGCTCGTATTGTAAATGTAAGCTCACGTCTAGGTCGAATAAATGGAAGACGAAATGTAAGTAAAATCTCTTAACACTGTTTGCTAAAAAAATATATTCATATAATCAATAAACAATGTATATAAAAAAAAATTGATCTTTGGTTCTTTCCCTTGTGTATACACGGTTCTTTCATTTTCTTGCTCAGGCTTCTCCTGCTGCATTCTTTAAAGTAAAAAAGCATCTCACTGTGTTCTTATAGGGGATAAGCTGAACATGTTTTTCACACATAAATGTTCACGTTCTGAAATATAAAAATGCACAACATTTTTCCTTTTGGACGGTATTATCGCTTAAAATTGCTTTCTGAGATAAATGGTATAATATGGTGAAATAGTTGGTTACAGAAACTGTACTCTGAATTGCATATATTGGACCAAAATTCCTACCATTAGATCTATATTCTTATTTGAATTAAATGAAAAATCCTTTGAATTGTTGCAATTCCTTCTAACATTCTCTAGTGATGTATTTGTTAAACAATTCATTAAAACATAGAGTTTGTGGTAAAAGATTTTTATTAGCTGCATTAAGATTGTATCTGATCCATTGTGCCCTATATGACTTCTGCTAGATGTAAAACTGATAATGTGTTGCTTGAGTGACAGAGAATCAGCAACATAGCTTTGAGGGAGCAACTAAGTGATGTGGAGACCCTTTCTGAGGAACTGATTGAAAGGACTTTATCTACTTTTCTAAAACAAGTAGAAGATGGAACTTGGACATCAGGTGGGTGGCCTCAAGTATATACTGATTACTCACTGTCAAAACTTGCAGTTAATGCTTATACAAGGCTTATGGCAAGGAAGCTTTCAGAGAGACCAGAAGGTCAGAAGATTTATATTAACTGCTATTGCCCAGGTTGGGTGAAGACAGCTCTTACAGGTTATGCAGGGAATAATACTGTTGAGGAAGGAGCTGATACTGGTGTATGGCTTGCCCTTCTGTCTGACCAAACAATCATAGGAAAATGTTTTGCTGAGAGAAGGGAAATTAACTTTTAAGCTGTTGCCTAGTTGGGATTTGAATAATTATATGGTTACTAACTTTACTAATTTCAAAGGAAATGAAAATGGAAATCTGTCTGTTGGCATTAGTTTCTTAGCAGGTTTAAGTTTCCTTCTGTACCATGTAATTTTCACTGGTAAGCTATTTCTTTTGGATATTTGTTGCTTCCTTAGTAGTAACAGCAATTTTACTTTGGGGAACCCAAAAAGAAAAGAAAAGCAAGGAAATTAAAAAAAAAAAAAAAAAAAAAACTGTACTTTTTCAACATAGAATTGGATTTTGGTTAGAAATTATTGATTACTATCAAGTTAGTCTCTCTCTCCCGCACTTCATATTCAAGCACTTTTTATTATTTTTCTTCTTTACTTTCAAGCACCTCTACAGTTAGACACTATTTCCTTTCCTTTGTTGTTTTACATTTAACATTTATGTTATTTGAGCATTTCAACGTCAGAATCTCTTAAGTTACGGAAATTTAGAGTCCTATAAGAGTTAGAGTAAATACACTTTTTTATCTTCAACAAATTTCATGATGCCCGTTTTAGTCCCTAGTAAATAAAAATGCCCATCGTGGTCCCTAAGAAATTCAAAACGGATCCATTTTAGTCCTTTTAAGGATTAATATGAGTCTTTTTTGAATTTGTGAGAGACTACGATTTCAACTAAATGAGTCCATTTTGAATTTTTTAGGGATCACGATGGGCCTTTTTATTTGCTAGGAACTAAAGTGAGTATCGTGAAATTTTTTTAGAACCAAAAATGATATTTATTCTAAGAGTTAATTCGCTCTCACACATTAGATCTTATGTCAAGTAAATGTTAGGATCACAAACAAATTGGCATAACATCACCGAAAGCTATTTTCAACAAACTAGAAAATGATGCCATAATTCATGGCAATTATTCACAATAAACAAATTGACATACCTGGTGAGAAAAATTTGAGAGTAATTTTAAAAAAGTGTTCCGCCTAAGAGTGGCGGAGCCAACTCATTTATTGAGCTAAGGCCAACAAAAATTTAGGTGAGACATAACACTAAATTTTATTCAGAATTTAGTCACAGTTGTTTAGTAACGTTAAAAATGTAGTTAATTTTTGAATTTTAGCTAGGACTAAGGTCCCACCCTGCCCCTAAGTGGCTCTGCCACTGCCACCTAGTTTCCATATTAAAAAGAAAAAAATGAAAAAGTCTACAAACATTGTTGAGAATGCTTTCAAAAATGATTCAAGAATTATTGCTCAAGTTATCTAAAAATTTAGAGTATTTTGGAAAATAAATTAAATTTTTTAGTTATTTTTAGCTTCTGCAATTACAAGCTGCATGTGTGGTCATTACTCGTTCCTTTTAAGAGATACCATTTGAGACATTTTGTTCCTTTTTCCTATACAAGATATTTGCTGATGTACATATGTGGACTTGTCTGAATGTGCGTAGTTAAATTATGGCTATGCTTCGACAGATGGAAGCATTCGACCAATTTAAGTTGGACCAATTTATGTTCTTTTCACCTCCTTATACAAACCCTTCAAAGGAGTAAAGTGGAAGAGTAAATATACGAACCAAACCTATATATACATTTGATGAGCCAATAAAAATTATGCTGCTATAACCTGAAAAACTTTCACCAGTTATCAACACAGATTTCACATGTTTTACATGTCAAAGTTTATAGCTACAATGATTTACCACATGCAAAGTTCAAAATTACAGACACACACAAAATGAAAAAGGCAAATCATCAATATGAAATCCTTCTAAAGAAGATTTGTGCACCATATTGAGGCTGCAATGTTATAAGCAGTATAGGAGAATGCTTATAGCTTGGAGATAGCACAAAACTATAACGTTGAATTATCAAAGCAAGAGCAATCTTTGCCTCAACCATTGCCAAATTTTGCCCAACACAGGTTCTAGGGCCTAATCCAAAAGGAAAGAATGCAGCTAAATGTTTCCGAGGCTCACTAAATCTTATTGGATTAAACTTATGAGAATCTTCTCCCCATATCTCTCTGTCATGATGAACTGCAGTCAATGCCAAGTAGAGTTGAGTCTTAGCAGGAACATCAATGCTCCCTAACCTCACATTTTTAGAGGTTTGCCTCATTAGCATTACAGCCGGAGGGTAAAGCCGAAGTGTTTCATTAATTATCATGCTAACCTGTTGGAAAATATAAACCAATAATAATCAATAAAAAAAGTACAACAGAATTTTGTATTCAATCATATTACATGAGCACTGGATTAGTCTATGAACTCGATCGATTGTTTGTTTGTTTATTTATACAATGCAGAAAAATATTACTTCAATGTACTGTAATGTTCATGCTAACAATGATATAAAAAGATGCATTCTACTGATTCTCTTATGTAACATGATAAGGCAAGTCAGATTATGAAAATTGAACTTACAATCTTAAGGTTATTTAAATTATCTGTAACTGGAAGTCCATTATGTCCAATGACACTAAGAACTTCTTCACGTGCCTTACTTTGCCATTCCTGATGTTTTGCTAATAGAAGAAGTGCCCAAGTCAACAAATTAGCTGTTGTATCCTTTCCAGCAAAGTAGATAGTTTTACATTCATCTATAATTTCTTCCACCCCTAACTTGTCTTCTCCACCAACTTCATTCTTATAGGAACACATCAATGAACTTAGTACATTTCTTGTATTTTCTCTCTCATTGCTCTTGGCCTCAATCAGCTTGCCAATTGATTCACGAGTTTCTTTATCTAGCCTCCACCTATCTCTGTTCTTCTTAGTTGGCACATATCTATTATTTTTATCAGAATTTCAGGAAAAAAAAGGGTGAAACTCAATATCTTATAGTCAAGGAGGCAAAATAGACCAGGTATGCCATAGACTTTATTTGGAGACATCTATAACCAAATTGAGATTTTTGATTTACAGTTCAGCATTTAAAGCCTGCGACAAATAAATTATATGTTGCAGTATTTCTCATCTTATATTTAGCATAAAAAAGAGATTGAATGGAACAATCCACAAGTTATAAACTATTGTTTCAAATTTATGGCACTTATATTATAAATCAAGAAATGACCCGCAGTTGGTCTATTAGGACAACATCTTTAGTTATGATGATTTTTTCTTATTTATTACCTAAGTTGATTGGCGAACCGGAACAGTGGTAAAGTTGTTCCTTTATGACTGAAAAGTCATGAATTCGAATCCAGGAAACAACCTTTCTGCAATTATGTAAGAGTAAGGCTGCGTACAAGGATTGACTCCATCCCCCACTTACTAGTCGGGTTTTATGGGGAGTGGTTTTTTATTACCTAATTTGATTAATAAGATTGGTTCTAAGGAAAGGAAAGGAAAGGGGTGGGCATAAGATCCTAGTTTTGATAGAGTAAGTATCATGCACCCACCTACTGTTCTTGTTTGGTATTTAGTTATTTGTACTTGTACTAATTCATATGGTGGTTAGCATGCATACTGCATCACTGTAAATTTGCCTATGGTAGTTTATAGTGATTGTCAATCTGTGAGACCATAACTTGAAATAATAACCTGAAATAATAAAAAACCAACTTCCCACGAAACCCCAACTTGAGAGAGTATAGATGAGAAAATCCTTAATTGAAGCCTTATTCTTCCATTTTTGCAAAGAGACTATTTTTGTATTTCAAACCTGTGACTTTTTAGTCACAAAGGAGCAGTCGTTCCACTCCTCATTGCTTTTAATGTAATAATAATTTACTTTTTTTTGGTAAAAAAAAAAAATCTCCTTTCTAAAAAGAGTTTGTATAGTTACCTAAATCCAGGGATATAGACACTTCTAACAGCCTGTGAGAAAAGATGCATCTGCTGCTCCTGTAAGGTGAAAATATGCTTGCCCTCTTCATAACTGCTGCCAAAAGCAGTCCTTGATATAACCTCAGCAGAAAGATCATGAAGCTCTCTGTGCACATCTATCTCAAATTCATCTCTTCCTCCTCTTTCATCTTCCCATTTCTCCAGCATCTTAGTGACACTTGCCACAATATCTGGCACCCACCCCTACAACAGTTTCCATGACACTGTCATTAATGATGTCAAATCCTTACACACAGACACCAACATAAGTCCTTTATACCCAAAACATAAGATGTAGTCTCACCTTAACAACCTCCATGTTAAAGGCCAGGTTTATTATCCTTCTATGAAATGTCCATTGATCACCCTCCAACCCCACAAGTCCCTGTCCAAAAAGCAACTTAGATTGTGGATTGTAGGGAACTTTCCCATATTCACCACCCTTGTTCATCAACACCTCCTTAATCATATCCGGGTCAGATATTGCCAACCGGGGCTTTGACCCGAACCAGTACAAGAAAACTTTCCCATACATGCAAGACCACCTGTGGTAGAAAGGAACCACACTTTTTAAGATGTCATGGTCAAATGGGGTTGCCTCTGATTTAGCTTCTGCATACAGCCGTCGGATCTCTGATGAATTCCCAAAGATCGGACGGTAGCCAGGGCCATATATCCCCTGCTTCTTGAAGTGACTCTGGATTTTCCATGGGACCCAGAAAATTGAGTGCAAAATTTTCACCAAATATAAAACAAGGACAACTATAACAACTACAACAACAAGAAGGTTCATGTTGATTCAAAGAAAAGACAAAGCAGAAAACTTGAACTGAGAGAACCAACAAGTTTCAGTTTCAGCCATTTGTTTTCTTCCCTTTCACTGTCCATACAAACTTCCTAGTTCCCTGAGACCTAAGATTGAAGAGAGAGAAAAAAAAAGGATCATTGCTTTGTTTGTTTGAATGATTGCATTTGAAATATATAGAGTAACCCAACTTTAATATAGGGAGTGATTAGAGTTATAAATAACTAACTGAATAAAAGGAAGAACAAGCGTTGACTTTTAAACTAAGAGAATAAAAACTATTGAAGCAATGAAGAGATCAAGTGAAACCTTACCTTGTTGTGTAGTAGCAAGAGAACATGAATTCAGATTGCAAATAAAGCTTAGCAGAATTGAAGTGGCAACTCTTTCTCTATAGTATGGTATGGTGGATTTAACTGCGTACCACTCTCACCACCGTTCAATTTAAAAGTTCTTTTCTTTTTCTCTATCTTCGTTTAACGTTTCCTCTAATTCAATGGTGATCGGTGTTATAGTAAAATGTTAGAAGAAAAATTTAATAGTATGAATATCCTACCTCAAAATATAATAAGGTAAGACAAAAAAAAATTTGAGTAAATATCTTTCAGTACATAACAAAAAAACACGATACTCGTCTTAGTCCCTTATAAAAATAAATTAGTCTTGAAGTCCTTTAGAAATTCAAACTAGACTCATTTAATTGAAATTGTGATCTCTCACAAATTCAAGAAAGACCCATATTAGTTCATCGAAAAGATTAAAATGGATCAACTTTGAATTTTATAGAGACCAACCGACTAATTTTTTTTATAAAGAACTAAAGTAGAGACCATGTTTTTTGTTAGGGACCCAAAAAGTATTTTCTTTTTTCTTTTTTTTGGTACAAATGATGATAAGATTTTTTTACCAAAGGAATAAGTTTTCAACTTGGTTCCTTCGAGCTAGATAACATTTTAAAGTAATGTTTTAAAAATTGAACTTAAAATAGAACCTTCTATGTTTCTATTAGTTTAACTAAAATTAGATTTGTGATTAAATCATATAATGTTTGAGTCGAAAAATATATTTGATTTGCAATTTGATCACTTCAATCATCTGATTTATTTTTTAAAATTGAGTACAGAGCGTGTAAACATATTACTTTCAAAACAGTGCAAAAAGAAATGGTTGACATACAAAAGTTATTGAACAACAAGATTAAGACTTTTATTTCATGTTACTGCTTGTAATTGTTTGCATTCTATATGTTTAGGGCCAATGAAATTAAATATGATATCTTGATCAACCTTTGGGTTGGACATCTTGTATGATTACATTGTTTAATATCATAATTTAACCTTTGATCCATAATCTAATTAATGAGTACATGATTTATTCTACGGAATTATCGTTTTTCTTGCCTCACGAGGTAAAGTAATTTCCTGCCATCCAAAACGACAAGTATAAAACTAAAAAAAAGTTCATCACAAAATGGCAAGTAACAAGATCACTAGACTAATAAACTGGTAAATTACATGATCATAATTATGTATGGACATATATAGACTTGTTTAGTCTTTACCTCTAGATGACGCACATTGGCATACTACACAACGTTTAAGTCATTTATGGAATATCTCCATACAGTCTTTAATTATGATAAGGTATGTCATCTCCTTGCTGAGTTAGAACCTAAAGCATATTAGGCTATTAAGCATCTTAATTTTGAGTTGGATAAGACTCGAAAGTAAACATATTCTCAAAAAACAGGAACTCTTAATGATGCTTATGAGTGTGCAAAGTCTTTTAAAGATTGGATGAGGATAATGCATGATAGATTAATAGTTACATTATTATCATTGCTAACAATTCTCTAATGATGCTCATCTATGAAGCATCAACACTTCAAAAATCCTGACGTGTCGTGTTCGACACTCCCCGACACTTCAACACGCGTTATAGAAATTCAAAAAAAGGTTCAAAGGTTACGTTACGTTGAGTTTTTAGTTCTAACTATTAGATTTGTTAGATTACGATTACCATTTTATTAAGTTTAATATAAATATATGGGATATCTTATGTTTCTTTGCAAAATTAATGAATATTATAAGTTTAGTTTCATTTTTTTGTTAAATTATTGAATATTAAATATAAAATACACTACATAAATTAAAAATATTATTTAATATTAAAACGTGTCCTAACGTATCGAAATCTAACATTTTTTAGAATTAAGTTTGTCGGAATGTCATGTCGTATCGTGTCACGTGTCCCGTGCCAATATCAGTGCAACATAGATGCTCATAATTAAAGGTTTGTACAAGTTTCGAGGAGGCAAGTGCCCATCTTAGCCCCTCCCTCGTACACTATTGTGTATATAATTGATCTTGAAGTATGATGTAAAGTTTTATCTTGACATCTTTTTATAAAGCATTATTCATTTTATTTCATGATCTTCTTTCGTGTATTTTATATATGAGATATTTGTTTCAATTTTTACCAACAAATCTAGTCACTAATACTTATTAGTGAGTGACACATTTTTTAAAGGAATATTCTTCCGTTGAGTGTGACACTCACAAGAATTATTTATGGTTGAAATATATTCTTTAATTAGGGTTCTAATTTTGATATTTGTAGACACTTTGTATCCAAAAAATATGTTAGATATTTAAGGGGGCGTTTGGTAGAGAGAGAAAAAAAATTATCCGGGAATCATAATTCCTAGAAATATGATATAAAAGTGAGCTTTTCGGAAATATTACCAAAATGTTGTTTGGTAGGTAAAAAATAATACTGGGAATATTTGATAAGATTTTTGTTAGCTTTTTCACCTACTTTTTTTCTATTTTCCCAGCTCTGGGTAGTATTGTTGGATGGAATTTTCATTCACAATTTATACACAAAACGAATTCCCAGGTAAATCATTTTCCTGAATAAATTTTCTGAAATATGATACCAAATATGGTCTTCTTGGAAACTCATCCTCACTTTTTTGGATATCTAAAAAAAATTCCTCTACCAAATACCCATATATAAAATAAGAGAATGATTTCCCATAGAATTAAAATGATGAAGTCAAAAAGCTGGGTGCACATACAAGTGTTGGATCTGGAAGAAATTGGTTAAATTACTTTATACCAATTGTGACCCACAGTCAAATAAAAGAAGAATAAAAACATAGGAAAAATTTATACTTAAAAAAAAAATTTGAATGGGTATGCTAGCCCATGGTTTCACATCATATGATATGGGCCCATAATTAAATGAAGTTAAAGAAGCTATCACGTTCATATTTTGTTGGGCTGTGAATATATCAGGGTTTTAATGTCAATTCTTAAAAGGCAACGGTACAGTCATAAAAGGGGAAGCAGTTAGAGCACAAACACTGCATAGTCGGGAAAGTTAATTGTAGAGTAAGGAATAGATTTTTTTTATGGAGTTTAGTAGTAAGTTTTTTTTTTGGTGAATGATAATTTTTTTTGTTATCTCTTGATAAAACCTTGACTGTTTTGGCAATGTTATGTTGATTTTTTTTTACCCGATTGTAGGATTTAGTTGGCCCTTAGTTAATATGAATACATATTACATAATTATTTGTGTCATCTAAGTGTTAGTGATAATTGATGTCGACTGTGATTTCGTGTTAGGAATACAATTGATGATTTTTTAATTTATTATTAATTAGGAAAATAAAACCATACAATTAGTTATTATTTGTAAAGTATTATAGGTAAATCTTCTGTGAAAATATACTTTATTGCTAGATTTTCATGACACAATTATTTGGAAAAAAAATTCCATCCCGGATCACTGTTACATTTTTCTAATATCTTGACACATCTAAGTTGCATCAGGTATATAAGGGTATGCGTAATAATAATTTTGTTTTGACACTATATCTGAAAATAAATATTTTTTTTATTTATATCCTTGAGATAAAAATTTTAAGCAAAAATAATGTTTCATAACACAACTTATTTTTATATTAAAAGAGAGAGAATGTGGCTTACGAGAGAGAGAATGTGTATTCAATAAATACTATTTTTATAAATAATGTGTATTTTATGTTGTTTACACATTCTATGATAAGAAAAAATAATTTTTTATTGGAAAATTATACTGTCATGTTGTATAAGATTTTTCTCTCATGTTACACTCACGTAAAAGATGTGCTTATTTTTTTTAAAAATTAGTAGGTCCCACAAGATAACTTCTCTCCTACTACATAAGAGAAGTAAAACATTTTTTTATTTCTACCAATTTGTGTTTTGAGCAATCGATTCATTTTCTAGAAAATAAAATAAACTAGATTTATTTAAACATTATTTCTAACCATTTTTGTTGCCCAAGACTATTAAAATAAAACATCTATGGAAAAGTTGTTATGCATATCCTTAGCTTTCTCTAAACTCTTGTCACTTGAAAGTGTTGTTTTAGGGGCACATAATCTTCCTTGATAAAGAATGATTTCATCTTTTGCCCTGTTGAAATAGTTTTGATCTTTCAGGAATGGGAGAATGATTTCTGCAGTTGTGGCAGAAATCATCCCTCTGCCACTGAGAAAAGCAAGAGAAAGAGAAAATGAGAGAGAAGAAGAGGAAATGAGTCAATGGCAGAAATCATTTTTTCTGCTTTAGAAGCATCAATGATTTTCCCTTTAAAAATTGTGAAAAATGGCACGTAGCTAGTATTTTCCTAATTTAAGTTATAAGTTGGCATGGTCATTGAGAGATTTAAATCCCTTAATTTCTTCACCATCTCCGTGTCAATAATCATAATATGATGATCATGTGAAACATGAGTAGGAATTTTATACTAAGAGCGTCAACCATTATAGCTTGTATGGATGATATTTAATTCAAAATCGTATTCTTTTAAGAATTGTATCCACTTCTTGTGTTGTATACTCAATTCTTTATAATGAAAATGGTATCAATTGCTTTAATGGCTACTAAATATCTCATATCTTACCCCTTTATAGGTGGTTTCTCCGAATTTTCAATATAAACACTACTATTGCTAACTCTAAATCATGGGTAGGGTAATTTTCTTCATGTTGTCTAAGTTTTCTAAACGCATAAGCAATTACCTTTCTATCTTACATAAGGACAAACCCTACCTTCCTAGACTTAAGAAGGCCTAAAGTCATCATACTATCACTTGCAAATGAGGGTTTATATGGATCTGACTTAGCGTTTGTTTGAGAAATCTTATTTTTAGCTTTATATTAGAGATATAAATATTTTATTTTATTTTTAATTGAGATATTCTAGATCTTTCTCTTTTCTAGTTATACTCTTCTATATAAGAGTCACATATGTACAAATGAATTAATGTTGTGCAATTTGCAATCAATTAAATTAATCACACAAATACGCAAGTGCACGTGTCACAAGTAATAAAGGGAT